AACGAAGGCTTCAAATCGAAAATAAAATTACTCAAGCGCTTTCCTTTTTGTTTATTTTCGAAGAAATTTCAAGAAAAACTTCAAAACAGAAAAAAAGTCGAGACATTATTATTATTATTATTGTTATTATTATTATTCGGCCCCCTTTCTTTGGTGTCATTTTTGACTCTTTCCACTCTTTCCACACACTCTTTCGATCGCGTTGTAAACAACTTACGCAAGCAGACCGAAGACCAAAGACCGAAAAAAAAAACAAAACAAAACCAAAGCAACAGCAATTGTGTCGCTTATGTGAGTTTACGTAAAGCCATTCCATCCAGAGGTGTCTTTTTTTGTTTTGTGTGAATCACCATAACCGAAAGTAGGCCCATCTCTCTCTATCTCTCTATCTTTCCATCTTTCTCCAACTCTTTTTTGCTTGCAAAGTTTAATGAACTTTACAAAAAAACGTAGAGTAAACAACTAGTTTGATTTTCTCGTTTATTATTTCCCCGTAATTCAGGAAGTCAAACAAATAACAAGAGATCATATACACATTTTTTTTGTTGAGATTTAGAAAGCAACTTGACACAAGGCTTTAAACACACACATGGTGTTTGTTTGTTGTGCCTTTATGGTGTTTATGTGTGAAATGAGGACGACGCAGTGAAAGTGAAACTTGTTAATTGGCTTTTAATTGCCGGCATTATTGTGAATGTCAATTATGGCCCAAAGCAATGCTATTGAACTGGTTTTAAGCAGAAGAAGAGGGAATTATATAAAGTTTTGAGATGTAAATAACAAGAAACTAGGGGAAATATTTAATAAAATATTAAAAATATAAAATTTATAATAAATATTTATATATATATAATTAAGACACTATCAAAAAGAGGTCACATGCATTACAGGAAATATATTTTAAACCCTCAAAACCTGTTCATTTTTTGGGGTCACCCTTTCCTCTGCTCCACTCCCCCTTTCTCGTTGCTTCCAGTTCGTCTGCCGCCCCAATCTTTGTTACTTGTTATGCAACCCATTTAGGCCCAAAACAGCGGCAGTTTGTTGACCAATCGACTGATGTTGCTTGCATTTCCACGGCACGCACGAAAATTTCTCGTTGCTTCAACCCCTCTTCCTCCCCCCCCAAAAAAAATTGAGCCAAACAACTTTCACTTTTACTTTCCTCGCGCCGACGGAATGATTATTAAATGTTTGCTTCGTTACGTTTCTGTGGCCTCATTCGGGCGGCTAAGTTCATTGACCAGCCGAAACCGAAACCGAAGCAACCAGAAACGATGCGATGACAAAGCCTCCCTTCTTCACCCCCCTCGTTCAGTGGGTTTCTATGGATAAATTAAACAATAAACTGGAGCGATTGTGAGTCATAATGTGAATTGATAATATTTCTAGTAAATCTGCATGTAAATGCAGGTGTTACCTGTTGCCAACATGTCGTATGAGTAATATTTGCTACTAAAATATCACTCATACGCAGTGAGGAACGTAGCCAAAATGCAAAAATAAGTACAAGTACGGCGAAAGCTCCAGAAAAGCTTTGAGTAATTCAACACGATGTACTCTTAAGTGGTGAAAAGCTTTTCGGGGTGTAAAGAGAATAATTCTCTAGGAATCTCTTCGAGTCTCTTCAAGTTTGTTGAACTTGTTTTTAGGTAAAGAGTGTAAAAAAGAGCACTGCCCTTAAAAAATATGAAAAATAACAAGAGAGCTGATGACAAGCTTATCAGAAAAGCTTATCAGTGCTTGAACTTGCTTTGTTTTTGCAAAAGGGTCATTGTTTTACGATATTAAGTACAATAAATGAATAAATAAAAGATAAACAAAATTGCAAATGCTATAAATAATATTTAGAATATAGAATAGAATAATATTAACCAACTTAAAAGTAATGCTAATTATTAGCAACAAATAATATAATTTTACAATAATCTATATATTTAAATTTCTACTTCATTTAATTCCTACATTCTTTGCCTTAAAAAAAACTCCTCCCTAAATAATAATGAAATATTTAGAGCACATTTCATTGCCTTATCACTGGCTCTCTCTCACTCTTTGCTCTCTTAATGGTTGGTTAATCATCACCAAAGAGCTTTGTGTCTCTCTTTAGCCCCGCTCTTTCTCTCTCTCTCTCGATGACTTTAGCGGCTTTTGGCTCTCTGTGTGTTTTTGTTCAAGTTTTCCCCCTTGTCTGTTGTTGTGCTTCGCTTTTGGCGGCAGCTGAAGCTCAGTTGCCGCCGTCATTGAGGTTCGCTCTCCGGCACCGATATACCGATACCGATGCCGATGTCGATGCCCCGATACCTTTGGGGTATATTCGTAACGCGCTTTGGCTTTTACAGTTAGTCGCGTTCGAGACCTTGTCAAGTTTTGTCATGTTAGCCAGCAGCGATCCGCGGGATCCGAAGTAAGCCGAGAGCCAAGCAGCGCGCGAGTGCGAATAGTTAATAACAGTAAATTAAACCACAAATAAATTAATAAATTAATTACAAGCAACTAAAACACAACAAGAGTTGCCCAAAGTGTCCAAAGCCAGTTAATGTGAAGAAAAGTTGACCGAGTCTCCCCCAAGAAAATAATAAATAAAAAAAAACACACACACACCACTCGTCTGTCTGGATTACGCGCTAAAATTAAGAAATATAAAATCTAAAATACAAAACCACTAATTTATTTGCTAAATATTTAACAACAAAAAATAATAATAATAATATAAATCCAAGTGAAAAAAAACCCAGAAGCAAAGAAAGTTCCTCTCTCGCAAAATAAAACGAAAACAGCAGTTAATTAAAAAATATTTAACCGAGTTTTTAGTGCAAATAAGATAACAAGTTACTCAAAAAATCCAAATATTTATATTGTACCTGAGAGTTCTCTCCAACCAAAGCTGTGTGTGTGCCAAATAAAAACAAGAAAATCAAAACCAAGTAAAAAATTCAAAAGAATATTTGTAAAGAATTATATCTTACAAAATTAAAAACAAAATACTTAATGACCGCGTTGAACTGAGTGGTTGTTGTGCCCTCCAAGGGAAAAGTGACCAAGTCAAGATCCAAAATTGTCAAAATAAATCCAAAAAGCATATAAAAAACATACAAAAATGGGCGAAGAATTGCCAATATTGAAGGGCATACTCAAAGGCAATGTCAACTATCACAATGCCCGTAAGTTTCTATCAGAATCGAGGGATTTTTTATAAACAATTTCCATCGGCTGAAACAATGCAAGACGAAAGTTAGAAAGTGAAAGAGCTCAAACCAATTTCCCTAAGCCCGACTGACACAGATTTGGCCAAAAGCGCAGAAAAAAAGAGTTAAAATTAAAATAACACCCAGCTTTCGGTTTCCAAAAGAAAAAGATACAAAAAAAAATCGTACCAGAGAAATGCAAGCATTCTGAGATTCTCTACTTTTGATTGGCTTTATTTTTCTCCACTCATTTTGTTTACCTTTTTTTAACTCCATCTAACTATGGCTTCAAACAAATACAGTAGAGACTTGTTATAGAGAAAATAAACTTAAAACTAAATAGATTTCTAAAACTATACAAATATCCTCTTTCCTAAAATTCCTGTTATTTAGAAAGGGAAATTCTTGCTTCTAGGGAATTTTTAATAGCATTTAATGCACTGTTCACTCAGCTCAAACATCACTGTACCCGCCACAATCAACACAAAAAAAAAAGCGAGCGCCATTGAAGTGTTGACCTCGTTTATAAACATACAATTTTTTTTTTTTCTTTGCCGCGGAAGAGCTTTAAACTTGAATCGAAACTCCAGCGAAGGCGACAGCTTCGGCTTCGGCGTTTTGCGTTTGCTATTTTCTACAAGAAGAGCGAAAGAAACCGCGAGAGAGCGGTCGCGTCGGCGCGTTGGAAAGTTGGAACACTCTAATTTCTACGCGCAGCGCTTCCAAGCTGCTGCGCCTGCGCAGAGTCGGCTTCATTTTCCATTTCGTTTGACCTGGATTTCGCTGCCCGCCAACTGGGTCACACTCTCTTGCCGGTTAACTCTCCCTATCTCTCTCTCTCTCTCTGTCTCTCTATCTCAGTTGGCAGCCGTGGAAAACGCATGGAAAACGCTATTTCACTTTTCTGTGCCAGAGTGAAATTTTTTTCTGAACGAGCGGCAGATTTCTTTTGACATTGAAAAGTTGGCCAAACATTTGTCAGATTTGTTGTATTTTTTTTGTTTGTTTAAAGTCAGGGGAAAAGTTTCACAAAAAAAGATTAAGTTGAAAAAGGAAGTTTGGGTACAAAGGGAAATGTAGAAAAATTTCCCTGTTCCAGTATTGGAAAAAGCCTTTTGAAAATGCCCTAGGTTTATTGTGATATTTGTTAAGTTAATTTTTTTTAATATTAAATAAAGTATTTAGTTGATCAAATAAGCTTCTGTAAATCTTATAAATATTTTAATTAATATTTACGAGCCTTTACTTAAAAAAAAAACTAATTTGATTGATAAAACCTCTTAAATTTTAAGATAATCTCTTCTTAATCTCCTTTAAACCTTTAATATCATTGTCCCTCCCTTTAGTTCCTCTTTTTCTTACTCTCAAGTGCGAAAAACGTGACCGCAAACGTGCCTGATTTGTTTTTTTTTTTTGTTCTCTCCCTGTTTATTGGTGAAATGTGAAAGTTCACCCACATACAAATTTTTGTTTCGGTTGCTGCCAGAGGCAGAAATTAAAAATCTTAAAAAAAAGAGAAAGTGTAACAGAGAAGAGGAGAGTGTAGATCGAAGACTGAAGAGTAGAGACTGAAGACTGACAGACTGTGGCAACACGAAGCAGCTGAGGCAATGACCCACTTTGAAGGGAACTTCCTGCGTGACAACAGGACAACCAACCGTACAACAGCTGTCCCTTGCACCTGCCGGGGCACTCAACTGTGTAATTGATGGGGCCTTAATTTTATGCCTACCTACCTGTATAGTTTCAACTTGATGTTGCAAGGTTACTAAAGATCCCTTTTATAATCATTTTTTTCTTTCTTTATTTCAGCTGTGCGCTTTGGACGCGTGCCGAAGCGCGAGAAGGCGCGCATTTTGGCCGCCATGCAGCAGAGCACCCAAAATCGTGGCCAACAGCGTGCATTAGCCACCGAGCTGGATGATCAGCCACGCCTACTTGCCGCCGTGCTACGCGCCCACCTCGAGACCTGTGAATTTACCAAGGAGAAGGTCTCGGCGATGCGGCAAAGGGCACGCGATTGCCCCTCATATTCGATGCCCACATTGCTGGTGAGTTTCAAGATCTTTAAGTAGGGAAATAACTATCATAAATCAAGTATCATAAATAACCATTGCCCATAAAATTATGAAAATCCATAGAGCCCTTCTCTGTCTGGGCCCCCCTCTAATAGAATCAGTTTCCAATTCCGGCAAAAAGGTTATGATATTAGCGTAGGCGAAGTCACATTTCCGGGCCAACTTCTGTTGACATGCATAGATCAGCTCTAGGAAAAACAACAACAACAATAACCCTGCCATAGTCACTAGTTACTGCTGCTCACTGCTTACTGGTTACTGCTCACTGGTTACTGGTTACTGGTTACTACCTACCTACCTACCTGGCGGCGGCGTTAGTCATGCGCCAAGGTGAACCTGTTTGCACGATTCTAAACCAGGAAATCGCTGGCCTCACGTAGACGCGTCTACAAGCGTTCAACGACGACTCTTTGGTTTCTTTGGATTCTTTTGCCGGGGCCGCCCGTGGCAAGTTTGGGGTCAAGTTCTTGACGAAAAGCAAAGAGCTGTCAATGTCAAATTTATGACGATTTCCCCCCTCTGACAGACAGTTCACTTGAGTGATAAATGCTTTGAGTTTACAAGTCAAAAACGTCATGGAAGTCAAGGGATAACAACAACAAAAAATAATAATGTACTAGAACCAAAAAGCGATAAAGAAAAGTGCTTACGAAAATATATATATACAAACAAAAAATCAAATAATAAAATTCAGCGAAAACAACAAAAATAAAACGTGTCCCGGCACGGCAACAACAAATACAAATAAAGTTCTAAAGCTCAAGGTCAAGCGTAGCGTCATTATTAATGAAAGCAAACACACAAAAGCACCTATCGCCGGTGTGAAAGAGATGGCTATAGCAGGATTAGAGAGAGAGAGAGAGAGATAGCTAGAGACATGCGTTGCCCATTTAAATAAATTATTATTTAAAATATTTAAAAGCCAGTCGGGCAAAAAATTAAACAAAAAAAAAGTAAAACCAGAGAAAGAAAATAAAACACAAAGTCAGAGTCAAGTGCAAGGCTAAATAAGTTAAAATTTGATTTGTTGATTACTAAAACAAAAAAAAAACCCAATGAAAGGCGATCGATTAGATCGTCAGTTCAAGAAGTCCACAAAAAAAAGCACAAATAAATAAAAGCAAGTAGAGAACCTTAGCGACCAACGACCTTGATGTGAGTTATTTTTTAACCTTGGAATAATACACTATTTCCCTCTCTTTTTTTTCCACCGCCCCACCATAAACAGTTGATATTTCCACTAGACTCGGAATGTATTCGGACTCGACTCTATATGAGTAAACAATAATAATAATAATACTACTACAAAAACAAAAATATATGCATAAAATGTCATGAGTATGAGGAAGCAAATGCCAGACGAGCGGCGTCACAGAAATGCACTATGGGAAAGAGACAACGAGTCAGAGAAAGAGATGGGGATAGAGATAGACATAGAGATAGAGGTTGAGAGAACAAATCTGTAAAAATTGTCAGGTGGTTCATTTAGGAAGCATCGTAATAATGCCACACAAAAAAAAAAGCAATTTAGTTTATGACGGAAGACGGAAGAGGAGTGAAACAAGGTTAGAATTGCTCTCTGTAATATATATATTTATACAAATTCCTCTAGAAGATTATTCAATCCATTCCCTAGACAAACCCATATCAATTGGTGCAATGAAAGAATTTCTGGTAATGAATTATTTTTGGCGAATACCACAAATACTCGTCGTCTCGCTTTGAAGGTCACTTCGTTTTTATATCTCTGTGATATGGCGGGAAATTTCAGGAGCGTTCATAAATAGCCTCCCCCTCGCTCATTAGTATTTTTGCCAACTATTTCCGCTTTTGCGCAAATCACTGAGAAAAAAATCTATACAGAGACACACAATGAAATGATACGACGACGTCAAAAGCGCCGGCAAACGAAAAGAAATTGAGAGGAAAAAATATTTGAAAAAATAAAAATAAAAATAAAAAGCAGAAAAGCCGACAACTGCCGGTTGCCGGCTACTTGTGCTTCTGCTTTTGTGATTGTGCTTGTGCTTTTTTGCACTTGCCGAAGGCCACAAGAAAGAAAAGAGCATTTTTCAAGGTTAATCAGACCAAAAATTAAAAACACTTTTTGGCTTGGAAACAGAAGGCGCCAGACAGCACAACGTGTGCTTATTGAAACAGAACATTAAGATGGGAAATTATTAAGAAAAATACAAGTGAAAATATCAAATATGTAATAATAAGAATATATATATACTTATAGAATTATAAATTAAAGGGGTTTGGGGCTGGGGGTTGTAGAGGCGGCACGTTCACTGTCTGCGCCACACTTGGCGCATGTTCATGTAACTCAAAACCCGGAAAACCAAATGGCGAAATAGCATGAACATTTGCAAGCCCTAACCTCCCCTTCCCACCTATTTTTTTGTCTCATTTTTCCAACCCCCTCTCTAGTACAGTAAAAAAAACACGCGCCGGGACAAAATAAAAACAAAACACACAAAGGCAAAAAAGCCTTGAACTCTGGTTCGTCGACCTTGGCTGGTAATGTCAGGCGGCAAAAAAGCTCAACACAAAACTACAAAAGGGAAGCTATATAAAGAGAGAGAGAGATAGAGAGAGAGAGAGCGAAAGAGAGGGGAGAAAGAGAGGTGAAAACAGCCCCTAGAAACTAACAGGAAAACTAACAACTGACGTAGGCAAAGCTCACCTCCCCCTACGATTCTCTAACCTCTCACAGAGAAAAGCTTCCAGCGGTGTTTAAGGAAATGCGACATTTGTGGGAGGTGGGGGAAAAGAGGGGAGGGGAGAGGCAGTAGTTGTTGGTGGGCGGTGCGGAAGTACAAATAGTTATTATTATTGATTTAAATGAGTGTGTGTGGCTGGGCAGAGCCAGGGGAGGTTCGCTGACCTTCGCGTGTGAAAAGAGCGATGACGTGATAATACAGCTAGAAAAACAAGCAACAGTTAGAGGAAAAGTTTAACATTCAGAGTGACAGGCCAAGGGGAAATGGAGCTTAACTCGTATAAACTCATAAATAGAAATATTCATAGAGTAAACCCCTCTTTAACTATATTTTCTTTTAATTTTTCCAGGCCTGCCCACTGAATCCCGCCCCAGAGCTGCAATCGGAGCAGGAATTCTCGCAAAGATTCGCTCATGTTATCCGCGGTGTCATCGACTTTGCTGGCATGATACCCGGCTTCCAGCTGCTCACCCAGGATGATAAATTCACGCTCCTAAAGGCCGGCCTCTTTGATGCCCTCTTTGTGCGTTTGATCTGCATGTTTGATTCGTCAATCAATTCGATTATATGCCTCAATGGTCAGGTTATGCGACGTGATGCCATCCAGAATGGTGCCAATGCCCGTTTCCTGGTGGATTCCACCTTTAATTTTGCCGAGCGCATGAACTCGATGAACCTGACGGATGCAGAGATTGGTCTCTTCTGCGCCATTGTCCTGATCACACCCGATCGTCCGGGACTGCGCAATTTGGAGCTGATTGAGAAGATGTATTCACGTCTCAAGGGTTGCCTGCAGTATATTGTGGCCCAGAATAGGCCCGATCAGCCCGAATTCTTGGCCAAATTGTTGGAAACGATGCCCGATCTGCGTACATTGAGCACCCTGCATACCGAGAAATTGGTTGTATTCCGCACGGAGCACAAGGAACTGCTCCGCCAGCAAATGTGGTCCATGGAGGATGGTAATAACAGTGATGGACAGCAGAATAAGTCCCCAACTGGCAGTTGGGCCGATGCCATGGATGTGGAGGCGGCCAAGAGTCCGTTGGGTTCCGTTTCCAGCAGTGAATCGGCGGATTTGGATTATGGCAGTCCGAGCAGCTCACAGCCACAGAGTGTGGGCGTGGCTTTGGCCTCACCGCCCCAGCAGCAGCAGCAACAGCAGCAACAGCCCTCGGCTTTGGCCAGTTCGGCTCCCCTGCTGGCGGCCACCCTCTCCGGCGGTTGTCCGCTCAGAAATAGAGCCAACTCTGGTTCGAGTGGTGATTCTGGGGCAGCTGACATGGATATTGTTGGCTCCCATGCACATCTCACCCAGAATGGGCTGACAATCACACCGATTGTGCGACACCACCAGCAGCAGCAGCAGCAACAGCAGCAACATCAGCAACTCCAGCAGCAGCAGCAGCAGCAACTTCACCCGCAGCAGCAACAGCAGATGCATCATCAGCAACATCCACAGCTGCATCATCATTTGACCGCTGGAGCGGCTCGCTACCGAAAGCTAGATTCACCCACAGATTCGGGCATTGAGTCGGGCAACGAGAAGAACGAATGCAAAGCGGTCAGTTCCGGTGGCAGCTCCTCCTGCTCCAGTCCCCGTTCCAGTGTGGATGATGCATTGGATTGCAGTGATGCCGCCGCTCAGGCTCAGGCCCAGGTGGTGCAACATCCCCAGCTGAGTGTGGTGACTGTGTCACCAGTACGTTCACCCCAACCCTCGAGCAGTGGTCATCTCAAGCGGCAGATTGTTGAGGATATGCCAGTGCTGAAGCGTGTGTTGCAGGCTCCACCGCTCTACGATACCAACTCGCTGATGGATGAGGCCTACAAGCCGCACAAGAAGTTCCGGGCCCTGAGACATCGTGAATTCGAGACCGCCGAGGCTGATGCCAGCAGTTCTACTTCCGGTTCGAATAGCCTGAGTGCGGTGAGTCCCCGCCAGAGTCCGGTGCCGAATAGTGTGGCCACGCCACCACCCTCGGTGACACCCGCCGCCCTGGGAAATCCCGCCCAGAGTCAGCTGCATATGCATTTGACCCGTAGCAGCCCCAAAGCCTCGATGGCTAGCTCACATTCGGTGTTGGCCAAATCCCTGATGGCCGAACCCCGCATGACGCCCGAGCAGATGAAGCGCAGCGATATCATTCAAAACTATCTGAAGCGTGAGAATAGCACGGCGGCCAGCAGCACCACCAATGGTGTGGGTAACCGTAGTCCCAGCAGCAGCTCCACACCGCCACCGGTTCAGCAGCAAGGTCAGCAGCAGCCACAAAGGTGGGGCAGCAGTTCGGTGATTACCACCACCTGCCAGCAGCGTCAGCAATCCGTATCGCCGCATAGTAATGGCTCCAGCTCCAGCTCAAGCTCTAGCTCCAGCTCCAGTTCGTCCTCCTCCTCCACATCCTCCAACTGCAGTTCCAGCTCCGCTGGCAGCTGTCAATATTTCCAATCGCCGCACTCCACCAGCAATGGTTCCAGTGCCCCGGCGAGTTCCAGCTCCGGTTCGAATCCCACTCCCCTCCTGGAACTCCAGGTGGATATTGCCGACTCGGCGCAACCGTTGAATTTGTCCAAGAAATCACCGACGCCGCCGCCCAGCAAGTTGCACGCTTTGGTGGCTGCCGCCAATGCCGTTCAGCGTTATCCCACACTATCCGCTGATGTCACAGTGACGGCATCCAATGGTAATGGTGGTCCCCCCTCAGCGGCGGCAAGTCCTGCTCCCAGCAGCAGTCCGCCGGCGAGTGTGGGTTCCCCGAATCCGGGTTTGACCACCACCGTGCACAAGGTCATGCTGGAGGCGTAAGGTGGTGGAGTGGTGAAGTGTTGAAGAGTGGGAGAGACAGAGACTGGGAGTGGCACGAGGAGGAGAAGGATCAGCAAGGATCGTCAGGCGTTGAGTTAAATTATTTTACCTTTTAATTGAGCCGTGTACAAAGTTTCAAAGCAAAAAACAAAAATATATGAAAAAAACAATGCATGCAATTTAAAAACTAATATTTAAAGCAACAACAACAACAAACAAACAAAAGAACTACAAGTTATTAATTTAAATGAAAAAAAGATAAAAACAAAAAACAAGCTTGAATGGTATTACAAAAGAAAAAAAAAAAGAAAAACAAAAAACATAAAACATATATTTTAGCAGTTAAACATTTAACGTAGCAAGCAAAAAAACAAATGAAACACAAGGCAGCCGCCCTCCCCTTTTTGCATTAACTTTTTCTTCAGCTGCAACAAGCCCCTCTTCCCTCCCCCCACTATCGACCCTCCCCGCCCCCCTATCTGATTGTTTTATAAGTTTTAAGCTCTTGTTGTACATATTAATTATGTTTATAAAAGTAAAAAATATATTTAGTTCTTTAGTTTGTAGGCGCAGCAAAACTACTTTGCTTTTTTGTGGATGTTTTTTGAAAAAACTGCAAATTATTATTATTATTATTATGATTATGATTATTATTAAATTAAAAAAGAAAAGGAAAAAATACCTAAAAACAAAACAAAAAACAATGTGTGTGAAATTTTTTATTGTGCGATCTCCGGAGCAGAATTGAAGTGCAGTTTGCAACAAATTTTAACTACAATTAAGTTGAGAACGATTCATTTTTTATGAATTTAACTAATTTTATGAATTTGTTATAGTTTTCCACCCTCCCCAGCCTCTATCTATCTATATATCCTTCTATCTATCAGATTAGCTATATCCCCCTTAATCATATTCCTTATTTCTCCTTTGGCACAAAGCTCTTTTTCTATGCTAAAGTATCAAGTGGAATGAATATTGTTTTCTAATTTTAAAAAGAACTACCACAAAAAAAAAAAACAAACAAAACAAAACGAAAAAATACAATTTAAAGTAAACTTTATAAAATAAATGAAAATCAAACAAAATGCTTAAAGTTTTAGCAGCGAGCAGTAAGACGAAAGAGATGCAGAGGAACCCAACGTTAAATATATTTGTTGTGTACATAGTTAAATGTTAAATTAAACAAATGAAATAAGAATGCATATTTAAAGTACATATAAATACACATTAAATATTAATGACAAGAAACAAAACCTAATGCTTAACGGTTCAACGTTTGATTGGCATCTTAGAAAACCAAGCGAAAAATACAACAAAAAAGAAAATCAACAAACAGAAATTATGATATATTATTTAAAAACGTAACGTATACATTTATGATTAATGAAAAGAAACAAAAACAAAAAGAGAAAACTTGCGGTAGCAAAAAAACTATTACATTAATTACCATTTAATTACGCTGTACTATTATGATTATTAATTATTATGATTAATTAATTACTATTTTTATGCTTAGAAAACAAAACAAACCAACAACAACAACAAAAACAAAGATGCAAAAACAAACAAAAAAACAACAAAAACAAAACAAACAAAAAACTACACTGGCGCAGAAATTTGTATTGTCAAATCAATAAAAAATTTGTTTAAAAATTTTCAAAAAAAAAATCTCTTCCGTTTTTTTCATTTCAATTTTCATTTTCAGTTTTGCAAATTTTCAGTTTTTCCAATTTTCAGTTTTGAATGGTAAGATATTATTATATTATGTTTACTTTTCAGTTGGAATTTATTTTTTGTAATTTCCCTTGACTACCGCGCTCTGTAAAAAATATTCACAAAATTATATCTAAAGTATTTATATCAGAATTAAATCAAGAAAACAAAAAACCAACAATTTTAAGTGTATAAAAATGAGCCACAAGGAAAATATGTAAAGAGAAAAAACAAAAAAAAAAAGAAGAAAACACTCTCAACGTTGTTGGAAATGAAAAACTCCGAAGAGTATGAGGAAATCTACAGAAATATTATATATTCTTTTAAAATTTATGCAGCGCCAAGAAGCGCGGAAATTAACAAAAAATAAAAAAAATATCACTCTTCAATAATTGACTCTATATATATATAAATATATATATATACATATATATACACAATATGTACGTAGATGAAACGATTTTGGTGTCGTCTGTGTGTGTGTGTGTATGTATGTATAAGCGTATTTGTCCGTAACTTTTAGCCACAACAAGCAACAACAACAACAACAACAACAGCTACAAAAAAAAAAACAAAAGTATCTAAAAGTGAATATTTTATGTAAAAAAAAAACTATCTCAGCATTGAGCGATTAATGAGATCGAAGGATAAGGGATTGGATATATATATATAGATATCCGATCGAACGACGGCAGCGACAACTGAAACAATGAAATTGCGACAATTAAGCGTAACGTAAACGTAAACGTAAATGTAAATCGTAACCGTAAACAGCCGTAGGAGTAAACGTAACGTAATAGCAACTAAAAACTTTGACGAGATTAATTGAAAAGACAGACGAATGCTACTTTTGAGGCAACTCCAGCTGAGGCATATGAAAATACCATATAAATAATATCTATTAATATATACATATAAATAAATATATATATATACACATGAATATATTTTCAAGGACAGTCACAAAATCAAATTGCGGCAAAACCAAAAATAAAAGAGTTTTTAAACACAAGAATTTGGCAAAAAGGAAAAATTGTGAGCAAGAAAATGTTTCGGAAAATTGATATTAAATCTCCATAAAAAAAGACAAGAAGTAACAGCAAAAAATTTGTATTTGTGAAATAAAATAATATTACAGTTTGTTTTAAATGGAAAAATACAATGAAAAAAGGTCCCCCCATCCCCCCCCCCAGAATGGAATATGTGAATAAAATATTGAAAATAAGTATTTAAAATATATCAACAGAAATTATGAAAAAAAATACTGAATGTGTTTTTATTTATTATTGGGTTTAAATTTTGTTGAAAAATACTCAGAGAAGGTAAGATAAATTTGAGAAATTTTTTGGCAGCTTTAAGATATAGAAATCTGATTCCTAACGTAGCAATTTAAATGCTACTTAAAACAAAAAGAAAGATTTTAGCAGAAACAAGAAAAGAGTTTAATTTCGGGAAGACGAAGTTGATATACCCTTGCTGTATGCAATTAAATTATAGAATCGATCCGGAAATCGATATTTATCCTAATTTTTATTTGATCATTTTTATAAACTTTTTGAAATATGAACGATATAACCCCGTATAACATTTTGAAAAACTTTAGTAATATTTATTTCTGCTCGAGATGGCTAGATTAACTCGCCTGTTGATGCTGATTAAGAATATATATGATTTATTATGTAGGAAATTATTTCTTCACAGACTTTTGACTAATATTATAATACCCCGCTAGGCTATAATAAGAAATTAAGTGGCTAGATCGGTTCGTCTTTTGATCTTAGCTCAAAACTTTTATATAGTAAACTCTCTATAGAATTAACCCTTGGACAATTCGCTTTCCTCACCTTCCAACCTGGGATCGTAGATCACTATATTTACAGTTGCCCAAAGCTTATCACACACTCGCACACACGCGGATTCTTCCTCGCTGAGAATAGCGATTATTTTCAATGTCGCGCCTGTCTGTCCCCAGTCTCTGTGTGTGTGCGTGTGTTGGAATTTTGCCCGTGACCTTGAGCCGATAAGAGTCGCGAAATGAATTTGCCGAAATAATCAAATCAGCGGCCAGCGAGGAAAATATAGAAAAAGAGAGTAAGAGCCAGCGAAAGAGAGCGGCGAAGGGGGTTTTAGGCGGCGTCTGGGCAGCGTGAGTACCGCGTGTAGATAACAACAGTCGATGCCAGCGATAGCGAGACACTCACTCATGCTGTCCCCCTCCCCCAACCCACCCCAAAAACACCCACTACTATGAGTGTGTGTGTTTGTATATTCTAATTTTAAATGTGTGCGACAGAGAACGAGAGATAAAGAGAGAGGGAGGAAGCCACTTGTACACACACAGAGACGAGTGCTTTGTTATCTTCAAAGTCAATGTCAAAGCCAAGTGGGAGATGATAATGGGGGGGATGGGTGTAGGGGAGACGCAGCGAGACAGAAACAGAATTAGAATCTAAAAGAGACAGGGGGAGAAGGCAGGGAGGCAGCGAGAGATAGAGAGAGAGAGAGGGGAGAGTGCAACAAATTAACCAAGTGTGGGCACGGTGGCGTATGAGTAATGAGTGACAAGTGCGACAAGTGACAAGCAGGAAATGCAGCAACTACAATGCATTCCGGAGGGGTGAAGGTGTGGGGGTACTCTTAGGGAATCAATCAATGGAGCTACTTGCTCATTCAAATGATTTTTAGTAACCGAAAAAAGGGTATATTGGAAAAAGTAAAGATTTATGGATACTTTTACCTTTCCAGGGTATTATTATTTCACTCGGAAGCTGAAAACTTAAAAAAGGAGTCATTTCCAACCCTATAAACTATATATATTATTAATCAGCATAAACAGGCGAGTCTATCTAGACATGTTTGGGAAAAAATTCAATTTTCAAAATTGTATAACATCGTAAATATTGTTTAAATTTGACAAAAATATTGAAATTTTTAAAATGTAAAAAGCAGAAAGCAGATTTTTTAACCCTATAAAAACTAGACCAGAACAGCTTTCCGAATTGAAATTAAGGCATTTTTGTCTGAGTTATAAATTTTTTTTAATTTAATTTTTCCAAAAAATTACCATAAAAATAACGATAATTATCAATTGAAAGAATGTAAATAATTCTAGTCATCCTGAGGTCATAAGATGCCCAAAAAGCATATAATTACCAAGAGGTTTATAGTTTCGAAATTACCTTTAAACCCCTAACTTAATATTATGTATGAAAATATAATATATATAATATATAAAAATAACAATAATAAATAATAACTATATATGTATATAATAACTATAATAATAAATAAGTAACTCTATATAGAGTATCTGCAATTCGAGTTCTTTCACCAGCATCTCTCCACTGCGACATCCACCTTTAAGCACAGATATTTTTGGCAATTTCCTTTCGATATGTGTATGTTTGTGTGTGTGTGTGTTTTTTTCGCCAAAATTTTTATTTGCGAATATTTCACCTTGAAATAAAAC